GATCTCTAAATTCAGGTGGCATATATTCAAGGTCATATTTTGGCTCTCGTGGACTTGTTTTCATTTTCTTCAGCTTCAGTTTGAATCTGCATATGAGTAAATGATGGTCTGTTCCACAGTCTGCCCCTGGCCTTGTTTTCACTGATGAGATGGAGCTTTTTCATTGTCTCTTTCTGCAGATGTAGTCGATTTGATTTCTATGTATTCCATCTGGTGAGGTCCATGTATATAGTCATCTCTTATGCTGTCTAAAGAAGATATTTGAAATTTAAAAAATCATTGGTTTTACAGAATTCTATCATGCATTCTCCATCATCATTTGTATCACCAAGGTCATATTTTCCAACTACTGATCCTTCCTCTTTGCTCCCAACCTTTGCATTCCAATCACTAGTAATGTTCAATGCATCTTGATCGATTTCAGATTGAAGAAGTTGGTAGAATCTGTCTATTTCATCCTCACTGGCTTTAGTGGTTGGTGCATAAATTTGAATAGTAGTGGTATTAACTGGACTTTGCTGTAGGCGCATGGATATTATCCTATCACAGACAGCGTTGCACTTCATTACTGATCTGGATATGTTCTTTTTGACAATGAATGCAACACCATTCCTCTTCAATTTGTCATTCCTGACATAGTAAACCGTGTGGTTGTCAGATTCCAATGATATTTATGCATTCCATTTCATTTTTGACAACTTCCAATTTTCCCAGATTCATACTTTATACATTCCATGTTCCGATTTTCAATGGCTGTTTCTCTTCATTTTGAGTTGTGCCCCATCAGCAAATGAAGGTCCCGCACACGCGTAGTTGAACCCTCCAAGGGTGGGGGTGGGGTGTCCATTCACTCAGGCACCCCCTCTAGTCATCAGAATGGAGGTACGCAGAGAGTGAGAGATCAATGAACAGATACCAAAAAAAAAAAAAAAAAAAAAGAATGTGCACATCTGTATCATCGCAGTTCTGTCAGGCATTCGTGGCTGTTCTGATCCTAGACCCGTATTAAATTAGATGAAGAGTAAGGCAATGTACAATAACGGGGAGGTAAGCATAACACGACCAAAGTAAAGGAAGACTATGAGAGGTGCATAAGTGCAAAAGGCAAGTATTATTATACACACAACATTGCATTAAGAGTAACAATAATCTACAAATGGATACACAGGTAGACATGCAAGCTGAACAGGTGTGGGATGGCATATATATAGGTTTGGCAGGAAATATTTCTATATGTGTATTTGTGTGAGCTGCAAATATATCCATGTATATAGTAGAGAACACAGGGGATAAAGCTATGAAAACTTCTCAGTCATAACCAAATACCTTGAAGAATTGAGTCACTGGTCTTGAGAGCTTAGGACCACAGTCTTGGGGAACACATCTAGGTTAATTGACCTAATATAGCCCACACAGGTAATATTCTACATCCTACTTTGGTGAGTAGCAACCGGGGTCTTAAAAGCTTTCAATGCAACTATTGGTCTCTCCCCATCAGGAGCAAAGAAAATCTAAAAAACTCAAGGAAACAATTAGTCCAGAAAACTAATAGACCCCTTGAACCACAGCCTCCATGACCCTGAGACCAGAAAGCTACTGAGCACTGCTCAGGATCATAATACAAGACCCTGGACAGAGTGGGAGAGAAATGTAGAACAAACTCAAAATAGTCAAAAAAGAACAGATGAATCCTGGTGTCCTATAGAGGAGTCCTGGGGTGGCACTGTGGGTTAATGCGCCAGACTGCAAAGTCGTTTGAACTGCAAGGTCGGCGGTTCAAGTTCACCAGCTACTCCTCGAAAACCCTATACAGGGTCTCTATGGGCCAGAACCAACTCGACAGCACTTCACAACAACAACACTAGGGCTGTAGGATAAGCATGGGACCACAAGGTCATTTTAAGTCACAAGGTTGGCAGCTCAAATTCACCAGCTGCTCCTTGGAAACTCTATACAGGGTCACTATGAGTCAGGACTGACTCAGCAGCATTTAACAATTGGTCTAATATAGACTGGTGGAACTTCTGCGCTGATAGACCTTAGACCCTCTTCAAACCTGGAGCTGAACTTATCCCTAGAGATCACCTTCCAGTCAAACAATTGTTGTTGTTGTTGTTGTTATTAAGTGCCATTGAGTTGTTTTTTACTCATAGCGACTCTGAGGATTAGCTAGTGAGTTTGAACTGTCAACCTATAGTTAAAAAGCGACCTTGTGGCCCAGTGCTTTATTATCCTACAACACCACAGAAGGACTCCAGTCAAACAATAGGCAGGCTTATAAAGTCAACAATAACACCCATAAGGAACAAACTTCTCAGAAAAATTTACCATGTAAGACCAAAATGGCAACATTTGCCCAGAAACAAAGCTCAGAGGGCAGAAATGGGTACGAAAGAAATAGAAATGGCAACAGATAAAACCCAGGAAGAAGTGTGAAGAATGCTGTTTGTTAGATTGAGTGGATTGCAACCAATGTCATAAAACAAAATATGTATACATTGTTTAATGGAAAAATAATTTGCTTGGTAAATTTTCACTCAAACCACAAAAAAATGTTAAAAAAATAAAGATTAGATGAATGAAAAACAAACAACTTAACACAGTTGACAAGCCTTTGATAACAAGTGTTGTTAAGTGCTGTAGAGTCAGTTCTGACTCATAGCACTCCTGTATAGAGTTTCTAAGGAGCAGTTGGTAGGTTTGGACAGCCAATCTTGTGGTTCACAGCCCAGTGCTGATCCTATAGCGCCACACCAGGAGTCCAATAACAAGAGTATCACTATGCTATTTTTGCCGTTGTTGTTGTTGTTGTCAGGTGCCATCGAGTCGGAACCGACTCATAGCGACCCCATGCACAGCAGAACGAAACAATGTCCGATCCTGGGCCAACCTCACTACCACTGCCACCCTTGAGTCCATCAATGATGCCACCTGGCTGATCCATCTTGTTGGGGGTCTTCCTCTTTTTCTCTGACCCTCCACCTTACCCAGCATGACATCCTTCTCCAGCGACTGTTCTCTCCGGACAATGTGTCCAAAGTAGGAGAGACGAAGCTTAGCCATCTTGGCCTCCAAGGAGCACTCTGGTTGTACTTCTTCCAAAACAGATCTATTGGTTCTTTTGGCAGTCCATGGCACTTTCAGTATTCTCCTCCAACACCACAACTCAAAGGCATCAATTCTTCTACGATCTTCCTTATTCACTGTCCAGCTTTCGCATCCATATGAGGTTATTGAAAATACTATGGCTTGGGTCAGACGTACCTTAGTCCTCAAGCTGACATCTCTGCTCTTCAGTACTTTAAAAAGTTCTTGTGCAGCAGATTTGCCCAATGAAATACGTTGTCTGATCTCTTGACTGCTGCTTCCACGAGTGTTGACAGTTGATCCAAGAAGAATGAAGTCCTTGACAACTTCAATCTTTTCTCCATTGATAAGAATGCTGTTTATTGGTCCAGTGGTGAGGATTTTTGTTTTCTTAACATTGAGATGTAATCCATATTGAAGGCTGTGCTCTGTGATCTTCATAAGTATATGTTTCAAGTCCTCTTCACTTTCAGCAAGCAAGGTTGTATCATCAGCATATCGCAGGTTGTTAATGAAGCTGTTTGGCTTCATTAAGAAATGGGACTCTTTGAAGTAATCAGCAATCAATGTACAGTGGTCCTGAAGGCTGCTGCCTCACCACCCGTCTGTCAGTTTGGCGTACTGCAGAGGCTTGTGATGCCATCCATATTTCAAATACCAGCAGGGTCACCCGTGGTGGACAAGCTTCAGCAGAACTTGTATACTAAAGCTGACCAGGAAGAAAGGTCTGGCAATCGACTTCTAAAAACCCAATGAATCTCAACAGACTATTGCCCAATAATGCTGAAAGATAAGCCTCCTGAGGTTGGAAGGCACTCAAAATACACAGAAGCTATAACAATGGACTCAGGTATACCCACGATCCTGAAGCCAGTGCAGCACCGGGCAAGTTTGCATTCTCTTGTACAGGGGCTGCCATGAGTCAGAGCTGCCTTGACAACAACTAACAACAGCAAAGACTGTTGTCATTTGGGTCTGGCTACTGCTTTCACATTTATCATTGTCTACAAATCAAACACAGCCTTCCCAGGTCAGTGGTAAACCCTCAAAGGGGTATTTATGGTATGGATGCTCTTCGGTATGCACGTGTTCTATACCAACCAAGAGTTTTCTTAAAGAAAGAAAGAAAATAAGTAAAGCACCAAGGGAAGGAAGAATAATTGGCTCTCTCAGAATGTTCCCGGAAGATTCCATCAATATGTTTTCTGTGCTGAGATCACGAAGAATAAGAAGAAAAAAGTACTACTTCATGAATTTAGCGAACACTCTTTTTCCAAAGATCTCAAAGCACCTTTTCTCATAGATAAACTTGTTTTGCTACAAATATACCTGAAGCTGCCTTGAACTGCTGACTTGTGGTTAGCTGTCCAGTGCTTATTCTACAGTGCCACACCAGGACTCCACTCTCACTTTTAGTATCAGTATATTCCTTTAAAAGGAGCCCTGGTGACACTGTGGGTCAGGCAATGGGTTGCTAACTGCAAAATTGGTAGTTCAAACCCACCAACCGCTCCTCAGAAACCCTATGGAGTGTTGCTATGAGTCGGAACTAAATTGATGGCACTTAACAACAACAACAGAAAATGAGAGTGTCTGCAAAGTAGCTGTTTAGTAGCTAAAGATTTCTAGTCTCAGAAACCTTATACAGGGTTGATGTGAGTCGGAATCCACTTGATGGCAGTGGTTTTTTAGGTTTTCTGACGACACAATGGATAAGCACTTGGCTACTAACCAAAAGGTTGGTGGCTTGAACCCACCCAGTGGCTCACTGGGAGAAAGATCTGCTCCTAGAAAGATTATAATCCAGAAAACCCTATGGAGCAATTTACAAGGAATCACTACGAGTCAGAATTAACTTAAAAGAACATAGCAAACGGGATCATTCAGCTCCTATTGAATGATGTAGGACTCACCTTGTAAGGTATTAAAGATGGCAAAGAGGTACATAAATGCGACGTTAACTGGTCCCCAAGCAAAGAAGGCAAAGCCCCAAGTAATTCCCAGCAAAAACGTAAGGCCAGCAACACTCCTGAGGTCTTGAATACTGGTTTTCCGCTGGGCCCCCAGTTGTTTCTTCTTTTTAATTCGGCAGAGCTGGATCAGGACCACAATGAACATGCTGACATTCAGCAAAAATATCACACAGAAATATCCCACGACTGTAATATAGAAGACCATATTGCTGTTGATCCAGCAACTGGAATTGGGTGGCAGGGGGAGGGAAAAAATGGAAAGATATATTACACTACTGAAAGAGAGTTCACATGATACAATTACAATGAACCTGTATCGTTTTGCTGAAATAGTGTCTCCAAAGGAAAAAAAAAAAGGATAAAACTGCTGTTCTCTACAACCATTTACATCTCTAATGAGAAAAAATATCTAAGAGAGTTTATTTTAGGGTACTTGGTGATTGCAATTTTTTAAATACTATCTTTTTCTAACCATTCAGGATTTCCCCCTGTAAATCCTACTCTTACTCCATATGTCTTTATTAAAATAATGTAACTGGCATTTCTTTTTTTTTTTTTTTTTTAATCATAGGTTATAGAGATAGTGTCAAAATACTTCTCCTTAATTCCTTTTTCACACTTAAGTAGTAACATGGCATTTCCAACTAGCTCATCTCATTATATTTAACTGCAAAGGCTGTTGTAAATTGTACTGGGTTTTATTCAGTGAGCGCCTGATTAGGTCCATCATTTCCTCAGCGGCTTTATACTCACAAGTCATCCGGTGAGCCATTGGAGAATTTCCCATAGGATCCAAGCCCATAGTTATATGGGGATATGACCAGAATGATAGCTACAACCACAGCTGGAAGTCCTGGAAGATGGGAAATATTGGTCACAGACAGTTCTAATAACCAAAATAATGAGAAGGAAAATTAAAGATCATATTGTATATTGTTCTTAGATAGACGTTGACTAGTCTCTTGTGGTTGGAGACTGGGCACACAACTAGACATCTCCTAGCTTCCTTTGCAGTTAGGTCTGTGTGGCCACATGACTAAGTTTTGGCGAATGGGATATGAGCAGAAGTGTTCTGCTCTGCCTCCATGCCGTTCCCATAAAAACCTCCTACAACATCCTCTGCTCTTTCTTTTCCTTACTTATGGGGCAACCTTGGAAGTCATGACTTGGGGTCTAGCCTCCATTCACTTAGATCCTGAATAATCGCAAGACCAGAGATAACCCCCACTTACAAGATTGCACATAAGTGAGAAATTATCTTCTACTGAGATGTCAGGGTTTATCAATTAACTTAAGGGTTTAGCGAGCGTTACCTTAACTCACACACTTCTGGAACGTAATTTTAAGGATCAGGCATCAGGCAAAGTGAAGGGCTCCAAAATGCAAACCAAATGTCAGCGAGTCAGCACACTGGGGTTACCAGTGTTAGTGTGTTGTCATTGAGTCGATTCTGACTCATTGTGACCCCAGAGGACAGAGTAGAACAGCCCTATAGGGTTTCCAGGCTGGACTCGATGGCATTTACCAACAACAGTCTTTAAGGGAACAGACTACCAGATAGGTTCTAATCACTGACTTTTTGGTTAGCAGGCAGGTGCTTAACCACTGATCCACCAGGGCTCCAACCTATGTTGTTATTTTTCAGTACCATTGAGTTGGTGCCGACTCATAGCCACCTTGTATGGGGTTTCCAAGGAGCAGCTGATAGGTTTGAAATGCAGACCTTGCAGTTAGTGTTGTTGTGAAGTGCCATCAAGTCGATTCCAAACCATCGCGACCCTGTGTAGGGTTTCCAAGGAGCAGCTGGTAAGCTTGAACTGCTGACCTTGCAGTTCAAATGGCTTTGCAGTCTGGTGCATTAACCCACAGTCCAGTGATTATCCTACACTAGGCCCCAAATGGAGTCACTTACACTAAGCCCCATGTCAGCAAAATGAGGCCTAGTTAGTTTTTATTTGCTGTAAAATTGCTTGACTTTTCCAGGATCCAAAAGCCATCAATCAATCGACTCTTCTAGAAACAGAAGCCTAAGCTACTGAATCAGGACTTGTTGTTTAGTTAACCTTGTCCAAAATTTCGCCTTGAACCCAAATAAGGAAAGAAAATGCCTGCCAGACAATCTTGAAATCTGTCCGGCATTGCTTCCTTGTTCTTCTGTGTCTATGATTTCAAAACCCTCTGCTGCTCTTCGGAACTCTTGTCTGACTTGTAGACCAGACATCCCCCAATTCAAGAATTGAGAAATAAAGCTTATGAGTTCATACATAAATTTAATACCATGGAAATTAAAAAAATTAACACCAGCAACTCTGGATGAAACTTTAATTATGAAACCCAAAGTCCTCAAATGATTATATGGAACACTTTGATGATGAGGAGTCTGACCTGGCTGATTTGTGGGTGGCAGCCATCAGGCACTTCTGCTAAGAGGAATCTCGATTAGAAGGTTCATTTTCAGCTTAAAATGCCCTTTGCCAGGAAGGAGTCCTTCTCAGCAGTCCCCGCCAACCCCTGCCCCCTAACCCATACTGCTACCTCCCATCTGCACACAGACCAGTCTGACATCCAGTCTCAAAGCTCTGGTAAACAAACCACAATTTCATCTCACAGATGGGTACGTGTCCCTGGCACAATCTCATGTACATCTCGTATTATTTCATTTAATTCCTTTGTGTTTGCACCTTCCATCGACATTGACATGATTTTCTAAGTGAGACACTTTTCTAGAAATAAAATAATGGAGGTGGGGGCACTTGCCCTTGACCTCTCAGCATTCTACAAAGCAGACAGACTCCATGGCCAATGACAGGAGCCAGGATTTATCTTTCTGGGATGAGTGGGGACAAGGTGATGTTCTGTTATTCTTCTCAAAGATAGGATGACTGATAGGGTCTGAAGTCCTATTGTGTATGGAATATGGGGTAAGCTCTGGACTGCTAACCACAAGGTCAGTGATTTGAATACACCAGCTGCTACATGGGCGAAAGATGAGGCTTTCTGCTCCTGTAAATATTTACAGCCTCAGAAACCCTGTACAGGGTCACTATGAGTCAGAACCGACTCCACAGCACTTAACAACAATAACAATATTTAGCATGAAGAGAGGAAGGGGCCTGGGGACTAGACACTTTAATACAGTGGAAGGTCTACTGCATAAGAAGTCAAAAAGCCAGGTTGGGTTGTTCTTGAACTCTGTGGATCACGTCATCACTTTGAGCCAGTTTTTCTGGAGTTAGCAATAAATACCATGAGGGACTGCCAAAAGAATAAACAGATCTGTGTTGGGAGAGGTACAGCCAGAGTGCTCCTTGGAGGCCAGGATGGCCAGACTTAGTCTACCATACTTTGGACATATTGTCAGGAGGGACCAGTCACTGGAGAGAGATATCATGTTTGGTAAAGTGAAGGGTCAGAGAAAAAGAGGAAGACCCCCAGTGAGATGGATTGGCACAGTGGCAACATCAATGGGCTCAAGCGTAGCAACGATTGTGAGGTGGCCCAGGACCGGACAGTGTTTTGTTCTGTTGTGCATAGGGTCGCTGTGAGTAGGAACCGACTTGATGGTACCCAACAACAACAACTTCCTCACTGGTTTGTCTTACATGCAGTTACTTATGTGAAAATACTTTCAAAAATAGAGCATCATATACATTGCTATATATAACTTGCAGATCATCAAAAGAATGCTGGCAGAAGTATCAGCATATTGCTTTTTACCTCAGAGAGCAAAACCACCAAGACCACCAGGGTAAGTGCCACCAGTGTGTAGCCTACAGATGAGAACTGTAGAGCTTTAGAAAATGGTCATTAGCTGTGGTGCTGTAGGATCAGCACTGGACTGTTAACCACAAGGTCGGCAGTTCAAACCCACCAGGCACTCCTCAGAAACCCTATAAAGGGTTACAAAGAGTCGGAACCAACTCAATGGCATTTAACAATAACAACAACAACAAGGCAATGTTATCATGGAAGTACTCAAGCTGAGATTAAATTAACATTAGTCAAGGTTAAGTCAAGTCAAATTGAAGAAGCTCCTACATTGGATGAGGAATTAAATGAAAAACCCTTCAAGATCTTTGGGAAGATGAAGACTTTGTGATCCACAGGATCTGAAATACTGCACCAGTGTGGCGAAGACATTACATTAAGTATTGTATGTGCTGCCCTTTTTGAGTATACCATTGTGCGTGCATGTGATATCTGGGAGGTACAAACAGTGATTCTGGCTGGGTGTCTGGCAACTGAGAGTTAAATCTCATTCCCACCAACCTAAAATTTTCAATTTATTGAGCATCTTCTATAAGACAGTCTGAATTCTAGTTGCTGGAGATACAAAGAGAACTAACTCATAGTCCTACTTCAAAGAGTTTTATAATTGTAACTAATCCAGAGGCAATATACAGGTGTGCTAAACAGACTTGACACACTTGTCATCTTGTGATTTAGTTAAAATGAGATCATAGAAAAAAAGAGTTTTAAAGTATAACTAAATGTAACAAACACAGGAAAATAAAGCTCAGCTCAGCATGTAAGGAGAAGAAAATTGTCTTAGCACCTGCCACGTGTGACCTGATTCATCAACATCTCTACTTGATTCCAAGTCTAAATACTGAAGAAAAAGCACAGAAAGTCCAGGCAAAGTATAAGCAAAAATCAGACCTACCCCAGCCGATGATGCAGAATTTAAGAATGTATTTTCGGATATAAGTATTAAATACTTTGACGAGGGCCAGGTACATATGGAATGCTTCCAGGCCCATCCATGTGAATGAGACCAAGAGGAAATAATGAAGAAATGCAGCCACTGAGATGCAGAGGCCTGGCATGCTATATAGAGCAATCCACGAGTCCAGAAGGAACACCAGGTTTAGTAGGAGCAGAGCAGCACACAGTTGGATGAGGATTTTGGAAGGGTAATCCCTCCGGATCTTTCTACAAGGAAAGGACAAGAAAATAATTAGCATGACATTCTGCCAACCTTTATATAGGCATATCTGTCAGGCTGTCCCTGAGTTTATTTTTATTGTTTGGCCAAATGCATAAATTTCTTCTATTTGAGTATGTGTTTGAGGTGAGGGGGTAGAGGTGGGGTAAAGGAGAGCAAACCACCACCATAAACAAAAAAGGGGGAAAAAAATCTAAACACAATTATCTGTGATGACCCTATGGAAAATATATGTTTATATCTCAGTGGGGCCTTTGACATGCTGACTTTTGACCCATCCTTTTAAATGGTTTGTAATGGAATCCCCTGTACACCCACCCCATTTTAACCCGACTTAAGGAGCTCTGGTAAGGAGTTCTGGTAGCGTAGTAGTTAAGAATCAGGCTGCAAATCACAAGGACAGCAGTTCGAAACTACCAGCTGTTCCATGGGAGAAAGATGAGACTTTCTGCTCCCGTAAAGATTTACAGCCTCAGAAACCCTGGGCAGGGTCGCTATGAGTCGGAACTGACTCCACGGCACACAACAACAACAACAACTTCTAGAAGCATTTCTTCTGTATCTCATAAATAGGCTACTGTATTCAGATCTTCAAAGTCCAATGATTTGCCTATCATCTTGTGTGATTAGTTAAAATGAGATCATGGGAAAAAGAGTTTTAAAGTGTAGCTAAATGGAGTCCTGGTGTGGCCCTATAGCATAAGCACAAAACTGCTAATCATAAGGTCTGTGGTTCAAACTCACCAGCCACTCCTTGGAAACCCTATACAGGGTTGCTGTGAGTTGGAACCAACCGGATGGCACTTAACAACAACAAATGTAACAGGCACAGGAAACTATAGCTCATTGGTGACATGTACATATTCATGTGTGTGAAATTAGATCTGGTGAAATCATTCCCAGTAATGGCTGACCTTATGGTAAGTTAGTCTTGGTGTGGTGCTGCAGGATAAGCACTTGACCTCAAGGTCGGTTTGAACTACTAGGTTACCAGCTGCTCCTCAGAAATCTTTTACAGGGTTGCTATGAGTCGGAACCGGCTTGAATGCACTTAACAACAATAGTATTTCTAAAGGCCTACTAGAAGGTCTGTGGAGTCCTGGTGTGGCGCTGTGGGTTAATGCGCCAGACTGCAAAGCCATTTAAACTGCAAGGTCAGTGGTTCAAGCTCACAAGCTTCTCCTCAGAAACCCTATACAGGATCACTATGGGTCAGAACTGACTCTATGACACTTAACAACAACAACAACAACTAGAAGATCTGTAGTCACAGCTGGGCCCTTAAGTTGGGCACTGAAAAGAAATTTGCACACTTCTTCATCAGTGTCTAAAATCTAAATACCAAGGCCTTCTTGTTCTTTTTAGTTAATGTCATAAAACCGCTTATATTATTCTTTGCAAACAGAATTTTCAGGAACTTCCAAAAACAGACCAAAAGGACACTTCTGGTAAGCCACAAAGGAGGTGTTGTTATTTGGAATGTCATTCTTTTTGACTAACAAAGCCACACTCTCAAATATATTTATACCGTTTATTCTTCTTCATTCCCGTGCCATTTAATGGATTCAATCTTTCATGCTTGTTCAGTAAAATTTAGAAACTTAATTTATTCAGCACAATTCTTTAGCTGTACAGGATGCTATGGTATGTTTCAGATTCATGCATTTCTGGGCCTGTATTTATCTTTTGTTCCATACTCAATGTCTACTAGGGACCAAGCATCATTCTAGGGTACAAAGACAATTAAGATTGAACCTCGGCCCTTCAGTGAGTTCATAGAGTAGTGAACAAGTCTCATGATGTTTTACATAGACGTTTTCCATCGGATGGTTGTATTGGTCAAGCAAAGCCATTAATTAATAATATATTTTGGCAATGGAGGTGAGCACTGAATCCCAGAATATGAGTTTCCAGTTGTAGTTACTCACTCAAAGGCTATGTAGGTTACAAGAGTAACAGACAGAAAAATTGATGAAAGCCCACAACCAATATAGGTGATAAACGTCAGAGCCATCATCTGCGCAGGTGGTACTGATGTTCGAGATAGGTCCTGGAAAATAAAATGTTGCTTTCAATGATGAAATATTTTTAAATAAAATAAAAATAAAAAAGAGTCATGATTTACATGTATTTACTGTTCCAGATGCTCATGCATAAGCTGCTCAGCAAACCTATGAGGTAGGCACAATTATTACCATCAGGTAAAAAGGAAGCCCAAAGAGGTTATGTAACTTTACCAAGGTCACATAGCTAAGAACTGGAGGAGTCAGGACTCAAATTTGGATCAGAACTCAAGTATTAACCATTGCATTTTGGTGCACTGGAAAAGCAACAAAGTAGGGGCTTAACTCTTGGCTCTTAAGTATCTTCGCTCTATCATGATGAGCAATTACATAACAAATAAATCTTAATTCTGCCTTCAGTAAAATGCCAATAACAACTTCTCATTCTACCTATCTTGCAGGACTACTGGAAGAGTCAATAAGATCATTTACATCTAAGTCTTTGGTAAATTTTAGAATGCAATGCAAAATAACAATTGTTATTACCTATTTTAATTTGACTTCACTAGTCCTTTTAGCTATTTTAAAAGAGAAAAACTTAAATATAAAAATTTGTTGTTGTTGTTGTTACTAAGTGACTTTGAGTCAGTTCTGACTCATAGTGACCCTGTATAGGGTTTCCAAGGCTTTTTAAAATCTTTGCGGGAGCAGAAAGCCTCATATTTTTCATACAGAGCAGCTGAAAGGCTCAAATCACAGGCCTCGTGATTCTCGGTCCAGTGTATATCATACTGTACTCCCAATATAAAAATATAATGTAAAAAAAAATAGTACTCGCATTCTATGTATAAGTATTTGCTTATTAAGATTTGCTTATTAGAAGAACGTCTTTGGTTTATAACTTTGCTACAAGATCATATTTGCTGACATGTCAAAATCATTTGTCACATTATAGACATCATGGTATTATATCTAGCTACTTCTCAGACAAAGACTCTAAGGTCACATGTTGTTGCTTTAGTTGCTATGGAGTTGCCCTTCCTCTTCCCACCCCTAACTCATACCAACCCCACACACAGTGGACCATTGTGATCCACAGGGGTTTTGTTGGTTGATTTTTGGAAGTAGATCATCAGGTCTTTCTTCCTAGCATGTCCTGGTCTGGAAGCTCCACTTAAACCTGTTCAGCATCATAGCAATACACAAGCCTCCAGTGACAGACCGATGGTGGCTGTCTTAGCCAGTGATAAACTCAGTCTCCCACATGGAAAGTGAGAATTTTACCAATGAACTATCACTGCCCTCTGATACATTACCAATAGGACACCGAAGCTTGTAAGGTGGTTGCAGGTACAGATGGTTTCATCCAACTTCTTGTCTTGGACAGAGCAGCCATCGGATGACCAGCCTCCTCTGCCCCCTGTTGGCATTAGGAAGAGTATCTGTCCTGTCAGCAAAGCCACAGTGCCAATGACTACCCCCCACCTTACCAATCCCCTCCTTCCTCCCCTCTGACCACTCAAGACTTTTAAAAGGATGTGACCAGAACCTACCGTTTCCACTCAAGTCCCAAAATACACATCTCACTGTCAACTCATTCTGTAGCAGAAATATAAATGACCAATTGTTAATTTACTGAACTGAAACTATGGAAAAGCAATGGGAAGAAATCATGATGTTTTTATTTCAGAATATCATGTTTCATTTTGAAAGAAAAATTCTTGTTTTATACGAGAAAATATTTTCTACCCAGAAATAAATGAATCCCATTTACATAGACACTTCTTAAACTCTCCAAACATGCATATGAAGCATCTTGGAACCTTGTTTAAATGCAGGTTCAGATTCAGTAGGTTGGGGGTGAGCAGGGTGGCATTCTGCATGTTTAACAAGTTCTCAGGGGATGCTGATGCTGCTGGTCCAGGGATCGTGCTATTATTGAGTATCGAGATCATAGATAGTTCTCAGTTGAAGTCCTCTCTTTGGATGTGAGAATCAGAGCAGCAGCTACACATACTGAAATGCAGCAGTTAATAAGAGCTGGCTTTGGTACCATTCCTTCTTGGAAACTAGGTGAAACTAGTTATTGTTATTTACTGCCACCAAGCCAAGCCCCTAACTTATAGTGACCCCATGCACAACAAAACAAAATGCTGCCCAGTCCTGTACCATTCCATGATGGTTTCCAGATTACAGCACTGTGACTCAGTGTTTTCTCGGCTGATTTTCAGAAGTAGATTGACAAGCCTAATTCATCTTAGTCTGGCAATTCTGCTGAAACCTATCAGCATCAATAGTAACTGACAGATTGGTAGTAGTTACACATGAGGTGCACTGACTGGGACTGAACCAGATTTCCTGCATGGAAGGTGCAAATTTTACTACTGATTCACCACTACACCCCCCCCCCCCATCAGTTACCAGGCACAATAAATCACTCCATAATTCTTGCAGTGGTGGAAAGTCATTCTTATACACTACCCAGACTGACTTTCAGGCTTTGCTGGATCTGCCTGTGTACAACTAAGCCTTTGAAAGGTGTGGTAACAGACAGACTAGACTGGCCTCTCCTCACCTGGTTTGGATTCATGTGCTTTAATGTGACTGTCACGTTTCTTGTCAAGTTTGTGATGGTCAGATTAGCAACACTTGAGGATATGACATAGCTGATCAGAGAGAGGTTCTCCAGGTAAGGGTCCTAGAACATCAAAGAATCAACAAATTGAAAAAGGCAGAAATGGGATACCATCAAAGAGTTTCCAAGCTTGAAAATATTCCTTAGACTAGTGAGTCCACATTCTCTATTTCACCTCCTAGGTCAGAAATGGAAGGTAAGGGAGAAATGTGACTTTTTCAGGGTTCCACAATTAGAAACACAGCTCATTTTACTAGACCCCAAATTCATTGCCTTCAAATAGATTCCAATTCACACTGACTCTGTAGGATAAAGGTAGAACTGCTCCATAGGGCTTCTAACACTGTAATTGTTACGGAAGCAGACTACCACATCATTCTCCTTGGAGCCACAGGATGGGTTTGAACCACTGACCTTTAGGTTAGCAACCATGTGCTTAATTACTGTGCCACCAGGGCACCCTCATTCATACAATGCTCTGAATACTGAATTAAATTGCACAGATTGACACAATAAGACCCTCGTGAATTTTGAAGTCAGTGTAACATTTAGTCATTGAAACTGTGTGCCCCTGAGCAAGTTACTTAGCCTGTGCCTCTATTCTCCCATCTGTGAAATAAGGATAATAATAGTTTCTCCCTCATAGGGTTGCTCAAAGGATTCAATGAATGATGATTTGTTAAGTGCTTAGGACACTTGGTAGTGCTATGTAAGTGTCAATTACTGAAATTTATCCTTCTTAACATTAGACCAGGTTTTTAAAAATAATCTGAAGTTGTGAAGCAATTTCTTTGACTTAGAGCCCCCACCCACTGCCATCGAGTCAATTCTGAATCATTGCCACCTATAATTCTTTCTTAGGGTTTCCAAGACTAATTCTTCAGCATTATAAAAACACACAAGCCTCCAGTGTGTGTTGGTACCAACTCATAGTGATCCTGTATAGGGTTTCTGAGGAGCAGCTAGTGGGTTTGAACTGCTGACCTTGTGGTTCACAGTCCAGTGCTGATCCTACAATACCACACCAGGAGTCCAAGCACTGAATAAGTTGTTACTGTTGTTAAGTACTGTCAATTCGGTTCTAACTCATAGTGATCCTGTACAGGGTTTCCAAGGAACAGCTGGTGAGTTTGAACAGCTTCATGGGCTCAGACAGCTTCAGTTTTCTTCCTCATAGTGGCGGATTGACTTTGAATCACCATCCTTTTGGTTAGTAGCCTGATGCTTAATCTATTGCCCCACCAATGCTCCTTGACTTAGAATAGGCTTAAGAATATTCGAAGATTAAAAGAAATACCACTTCAACCCCCTGCAACCGCCACCACCATTAAAATCCACCAAAAGCAGTTAGCACCAACTTTACCTGAAACAGGGCGGGCGTTTCAAAAAAGTTGAACTGAAGTCTGGAAGCAAGTTGCACATCATCAGCTGGCAGATTACTCATCAGTGAAGAAGGGAGAGTAATCACGCCAATGCTGTGCTTAGGAGCTTTCATTTCCAAGGAAACCTGACAATCAAGTGAAAGGTAAAAATGTGATTGGAGCTAGTATAGGGAAAACATGGGAAATACAACAATTCATTACGACGGAGGATTCTGTAAGGGCATTTGGTCTGTGGTGTCTCTATGTAACGTGGGTTCTACTTCTGGTTCTCTGGCTTTTGCTCAATTAAAGAAAACAAAAAAAAAAAAAAGGTTGACATCGAGTTGACTACCAGTTCACAGATGTCAGAGCAGAACAGAACTCCCTAGGGTTTGGGTGCCTCCAAGAGCTCAATTCAAGAGGAAATGAGGACTCCAAACAGGGAAGAAAGCATTTTAAGGTTACACAGGAACAGTCAAAAGATACTGGGTAATTAAAGACCACAGGGAGACCACAGTGGCAGATCCGTCACCTTGTTGGTATTTCAAGCCAAGTAACAGACAGATAGAAAACACTAGAAGTGGGGTTGATATTTTGCACCAGTGGCGTCCTGGGGTGGCGCTGCAGGATAATGTGCTGGACCACAAGGTCAGTTTGAACTGCAAGTTGGCAGTTCAAACTCACTAGCCTCTCCCTGAAAACCCTATACAGGGTTGCTATGAGCTGGAACTGATTCTATGATGCTTAACACCACCATACACAATGTAGTTGCCATGTTATTGTTAGGTGCCATCAAGTCCATTTTTGACGCATAGCAACCCCATGTGACACAGCAGAACTGCACGATAGGGTATTCTAGGCTGTAGTCTTTATAAGAGTAGATCACCTGGTCGGTCTCCGACAGAACTGTGGGGTGGGTTCGAACCACCAATTTTTCGGTTTGCAGATGAGTGCTTAAACTTTTGCTCCAACAGGGCTCCCTAGAGTAGCCATCACACTTGTCAAAGTATTAAAATGGGTTGGTAAGTAATTGATGTCCCTGCTTTTCCAACTGTGTAGGATTCCCCTCCCCCTGGACACTCTCTCCCAAACTTCCACAATTCAGCTGCTAAGGGTTAACAAAGACCACCGAAGGGATACCCTAGATCCTGTTCCAACTTCTGTTTTGAGTCTGTGGTGCATCCTTGTTCAACATATTTAATATTTGAACATCACCCCAAACTATAAGCAGCGATTGCCTCAATCATTAAGTACAACAGAGAACGATGATGTACAAGAAGATAGTTTCCACAATAAATTACACTGTACCTGAAGATTGTTAGCGTCTTGGGCTGCAAAGGTTGTTGTGTTGAAATCACTGGCATTTACTCTGATCACAGCCAGAGCCAAAGAAGGGGAGGTTAGACTTATGGTCTTGTTTGAAAAATTCAGTTGTAAGCCAATGTCATCCACCACTTTCAGCAATCTGTAAAAACAGGTGGCAGTTCAAATTCAGCAGTCCCACTTGTTTTGTTGTTGTTCCAATCTATACAGAATATAGTAATTTGAGAAGTCATTATAAACCTAGTACTTGGGAGAAAAGTTGTTACTGGCTGATTCTCAGAAGTAGATTGCCACACGTTTCTTCCTACTCTCTCTTAGCTCAGAAGCTCCACTGAAACCTGTTCAGCATCATAACACACAAGCATCCAGTAACAGATGGATGGTGGCTGTGCATGAAATTCATTGACCAGGAGTTGAACCCACGTCTCCTGCATGTAAGACAAAAATTCTACCACTATACTACCACTGCCCCCATTGGGAGAAAATGATCTGGCTATCATTAATCATGGAAGAAGCATCTAGATCATTAGTAGCTCTCGTCTTCTCAACACCACATCAGTTTATAAAATCATACCTTTGAGTCAGAGGGGCCAGCAAGGCAGGTGGGGAACGAAGGAGTTTGCTAACTTGGTTTATCATTTTTTCTGCAAGGTTAGGCTCCAAGCTGCCTAAGGCCAGAGTCTTCTCCATCTGGGACACTTGATTCTCAAGTTCAGTGGCATTGGCACTGCTAGTGTTGACAATTTCTAGAAATTATAGAAATATGTAAAGAATAAAATCATTTTCAGAACATAGGAGGGAAAGCTCATTAATAAAGGCAAGCATACATTTATGACCTGGCAAACCCATTCCTAGGTATCTGCCCCATAAAAAGAAAAAATATATATGTCTTAAGGCTTGTGAATGAATGTTTACACCAAGAGGCCTTTTCCATAATAGCCCCAAACTGGAAACAACTCCAATGTCCATAAAGTAGAGAATAGATAAACAAATTGTGATACATCCATACAATGGAATATTGTTTAGTAATAAAAATGAAGAACACTTCCGGAAAAAGATGGCGGATCGGGTGGAAGTGTAGTGACGAGCTCTGCCGAGAACAACACAGAATACAGAACCAAGAAGGCTCCGGGGATGGTCCCAGTACTCTGAACCACATATAAAGGAATATTTAGAAGGTTGAAGACTTACAGCTGGGGAGTTTGTGGCAGAAGCAAGAAATCCATTGCTTCCTGGTTC